CAATCCTCAACACTCGTGCTTAACTTCCAGGACTTCAAACATTCATCTGATTTATTAGCAACTTCACTTTCAAGCTGGCAACCTTGCACCTTCCCAGCCATGTGAAGCAGAGAAAAAAATTAAAGGCACAATGTGTGCAAGTTTGTGGTGCAGCTAGTGTCCTACTAGATCTTATTCATTCCACCACTGTAAAGAGCTCCCGATGCATTCACTGCATATTTTCATGCTTGCCCTTAAACTTCAAGTTTTCTGTTGCATTTATGTCCCCAAAGCGTAGTACAAGTTCTTTGGGCTCTAAGCACAAACATGCAAAGTCAGCTGTGAGACACACCTCATGCTGGAATGTCTGTAGCCAGCACAAGTTTGGTGTTAACAAATCAACAATTCATTATATCTGCAAAAAGGAGGAAAGTTTTTATGGAACTACAGATTTCATGTGTTATAAATCAATTATTGTCTAAAATCAATTTTTTTGTTTTTGTTTTTCTTTTTTTTAAATTGAGATGTGAGCACATAAGGTCAGAGAATTCTTGCACATTACTAGTGAGAAAAATGTTTTACATGTTACCAATTTTATTTCGTGTACTGGATTTTATGGGTTATTTCATGCTTACTGTGTAAGGAAAAGTACATATTATCGGAAATAGTTTTGCTATAAAGAATTATAAGTAGAAAAGTGTATTTTCAGCAATCTCTAGCAAAAGATTACATTATTTGGTGGCTGCAGGTACCTAATTCCCTATCTATCATAAATTCAATGTTTCAACATTTCTTTTTTAGACTTTTGCCCTTTTGAGGAATGAAAGTTGAGGACTGACTGTATTATCTTGCTTTATCTACACAACTTTGGAAGTTAGGTGCTATTTTCACCTCCATTTTACTGATGAGGACATGAAGCAGACAGAGGTTAAGTGACTTGTCCAGGGTCACCCAGGTAGTTAGCGTGAGGCCACATTTGAACTCAGTTCTTCCTTACTCCAGGTCCATCCACTGAGTCACACAAGAAAATCAGAAAGGGCAACTAAGTAGCACAGAAGATAGAACTCTGGCCTTGGAGACAGGAGGATCTGACTTCAAATACGGCCTCGGACATTTGACACATACCAGCTGTGTGATCCTGGGCAAGTCACTTAACCCTGACTGCCTCACCAAAATTTTTTTTCAAAAATCAGAAAAAATGGAGCACTTACATCCAAGAGTAAGCTAGAGCTAACTCAAACAGGCTGCCCAGTAGATTATTATACTTTCAGTGTGAACATTTACACCTCAAAAATCAGCAAATGCTATGAATCAGGGCTTCACTTACAGTACTTTAAAAAAATTATTTAGACTTAAGTGAAGAAAATTAAGTATTGCATGTGTACATGTACAGTCAGTTGTTAAACATTTACCAGCATTCCCTTGATTACATCAAAATACCACCTGAACAATTAATTTTCTTCTTTGAAATAGTTAAAATGTAAAGTTATCTAACTTCTGCATCCAAAAACCCAAGGATACTCCCATGAACTTTTTCAGCCAGACACACACATAAATCTCCCATTTCTTTTTGCATCCATCACAATTATTTTAAATAATTCTGCTGTTCTAGTCTCCCTTCTGGCATTGAAGCAAATTTTTAAGACTGGCAAGGATGGAGTGTCAAAGAGGGGGATTCATGATATAGTGATATACATGGCCAATTCATTCACTTCATATATCTTTCAGTTCTGCATTGTTATTATAAAATCACCTTTATCTATCACCCCAATTCTATCCCATCCAGAAAGTTTCAGAACCCTGTCCTTTACTTTACTTTGAGAACTATTAGAAAATGCTGTAATGTTAAAGAGAATTATTTCACTCAGTACATGTTTAGTGTAATGCATTAAGTTTAATTATTTCTTAAGGCAGGAAATCCAAGGCCACCTTTGATATTTTATCAGGAGTTAAGCTTGTGCCTTAAAATTTCTGATAACTGTATTCCAATATAACTGGTTTTCTTTGTATTCCTATTCATTTTATCTTATGCTTTTAAAATTATCATTCTTAGAAGGGTTCCATGAAATTCAGACAACCAAAAAGAACCATGACACCAAAAAAGGTAATAACCCCTTCTCTGTATCAACATCTCTCTCCATCTGTACAACCAGCTGGCAAGAAATTTTGATTCAATATTTCCACTTCTCTCAAGTGAAGTCTTTTCTACTCTTTCCACTCCACAAGACCATACGTGTACAATGAATAATTTTAAAATTAATTCTCTAAATGCATATTAACTACTTTATAGATTCTGCATAGGTAACTAAGCCTGCTTAGCAAACGGGAACTTGTTTAATTAACTGTTAGTTTGAGAAAAATAACTGTAAAAGTAAACCTGCATTTTGGACTACTATTTTGGTGGTGTTTTTTTTGGGGGGGAGGCAATTTAAGTGACTTGCCTAGGGTCACATGCTAGTCTCAAGTGTCTGCAGCCAGATTTGAACTCAGGTCCTCCTGACTCCAGGGCCAGTGTTCTATCCACTATATCACCTAGCTGCCCCTGGACTACTATTTTAGATTATGTATTCCATTGCCCTCTTACTCAAACCAAATAGCACTGAGAAATTTAAGTTGACTATACTAAAACTTGTTTGCTCAAGGGTGAAATTCAGCAAAGACAGACCACCTTTTAGTCCAGGGGTAAAGCCTATAGAGGCAGTCTGTGGCACAGTGGATGGCAGACCTGAGTTCAAATCTGCACACACATTTACTAGCTGTGTGACTGTGGGCAAGTCACTTAACCTCTGTTTGCTTCCGTTTTCCTCAACTGGAACACAGGGATAATAGCACCTATGTCACAGGGTTGTTGTGAGGATCAAATGAGGTAAGCTGTAAAAGCACTGAGCAGAGAGTAGATGCTATATAAATACTTATTCTCCTCTCCCCTCTTCTGAAGTTTTAAAAATACATAGAATTACAAAAGAAACTAATTATAATGAAACAATAACCAAAACATTTTAAAGTTCAAGGACCTCAGGTTAAGAATCTTTATGTTTTAGGCCATCTAAAAAAGGTTCAGAGGCATAAATCCTACATATGGCTTAAAAATGAGTTTTATAAGCATTTTATAAAAATAGCAAGTCAGTCTGTAATAAAACTTTCCAATAACAATGAAGCAAGTAGATGTCCTGATGTGTTGCCATTTTACAATGTGGAATAGATCCTTTTTTTCTGTTTTTCTTGTTCATACTCACTTTGTTTTCACTAACCAGTTAATATTGTTATGCAATATGACAAAAAGCAAAATAAAAAATAAAGTATTGCAAAAATGGGGAACCCCATACCTTTTAGAAGATTAGGTCCTACATTAAATTAAAATATGAAATATTACTCCTTTATAATGTGGATAGGAGAAAAAAGTACCCTACAGAATCAGGTTGGATACTAATGTATTCAACAGTTTTCTTAGAACTCAAGGTAGTCAAGTAAGATCATTGGTAACACAAATCTGCTCAGGAACTATAAATTACAGCATTTACAAACCAGGGTTCCTTCCTGGTTACATGGTTTCTAGATGGTTAACAGTGGTGATGACAGCACTAAAGACATATCAGGTCAACTTCAGAGAAACACAAGATGTATTTTTCAAGTAAGTCACTATACAGAACTTTTGCTTACAGCGACAATCAACAGTGGGGCCAACCTTCCAGGCAAAACAACCACCATTCACAAGCTACTTACTCTAAAAAGTCAACAAATAAACAGCTTAAATTTACAAGAGGTCAACCTTATCCTTTATCCCTCTTCAACATCCTAACTCAGAAAGACACAATCAAATGTCAGTAATTAGGATGCCCATTAATTTAATAGTCAATGTTTACCATTACTTTTCATTCCCATTTGTTATATGAGGACAAAATGCAAAGCAAGGAGAAAAAAAACCCTTTACTAGAAATATTCTCAAAATAGGATTTTTTAAAATCTGAAACTTTCAGTATGGAAAACAGGAGCCAGAAGTAGACTCTTTGGGGAGTGTATGGGAATGTAAACTTTAAGTTATTATGTATATGTTAGTGAAAGCATACCTCTTAAATTTTCTCTTAGGTAAGTACTTCAGGAGTAGCAATGTTTTGATTTAATCCAAAGACTCAAATCTACACTGAAATATAGTGGCTGCAGACTGAAAAGGGGCTAAGAGTATTCTGTCACTGCCTATACACTATTTCATTATGATGACTGCAACATAAAGGAAGTAGGGTTGTAACTAGAACAATGGTTAAAAAACGACTTTCCTTTGGGTAGTTAGTATTGAGAAAGGTGAAACGTGGTGGATTGTAGGGATGGGGGGTGCCATTTTCCCACAGGAAGGAGGGAAAAATCAAAACAAAACACAGAGTCACTGTGGTTCAGGGCCTGAGCAAAAGACATAAGTAGCCCCAGCTGGGTGTCAGGGAGGGGATGACAGGAGACCCTGGCTGCGGGGGAGGGGAAGAGATGACAGGAGAGGGGGCAGTAGAGAGTTGACATGTCACCCACCCCAAAACAGTGGAGAACAAGGTGGGAAAGAGGAGAGTAAAGCAGAAGCATTACTTAGGGAGGTTATGGGGGTGTATGTGAGACAAGGAAGAGGCAGGAGAGAAGACTGGATGTTTAACACCGGAAAAGAGATGGTCTCAAGCACGCACCGACTTAAACCTCATGAACTGGGCACGGGAGAAGAATGGGGGGGAGAAGACGAAGGAGTAGTATGTTGAAGTCGCGGGGAAGACCACAGGGCCAGAGGGCAACACCCCCCTACCTCCCTCTGACCTCTCATCCCCTCTGCACCCCTACAGTACCGGGGTCAACGCGGCCCCGCCCCCTCCCGGGTGCCCGCAGCCTCCGATCCCCACCCCCTCCCCCAGGAGCGTGCGCCGTAAGAACCCCTCTGGACCCAGGGAGGACGAAGGAGGAGAAAATGTGGGGCTGGAGAGGGAGATCAAAGGGGACACGTCCCCCACCCCCAGCAGCCGCGAGGGCGGCCCACTGCTGCTCCTCACCTGACAGAAGCGGCGGCAGTAATCCCGGCTGCTGATCCTGCTGCTGCTGCTTCCAACGCCGCAGCTGCTTCCTCCATCGCCCCCAGCCCCGGCTCCGAACGCGACGGAACCCGGAGGGGACTCCACGATCGCCTCGAGCTCTTCCCCAAGGCGCTCGGCCTCCTGGTCGCTCTCTTCCTCCGCCATGAGGCTCTCGCAGCCCAGCGCGTACCAGCCCCAGCGAAGCCGTCGCTGCCGCTGCTAACCTACTCCTCCTCCCCTAATTCCCTCCCCTCTTTCCCCCCCAGCCGGACAAGCGCCGCTCCGCCGGGGCCCTACTTCCGGCTCCGCCCACCCCCGCCCCCAATCTGTATTGGCCAACTCCCGCCGCCAGTCACCCTGGCTCCCGCCCTCTAGCTGCCATTGGCCGGAGTCGCCGTCCATCTAACCCGCCAACCAGCCGTTGGACAGCGCTTCACGGCGGTTGCTGGGGGCCGCCTACCGTGCTTCGCAATAGGCCGCGGAGGAGGACGGGGCGCGGCGGGGGACACGGCGGCCGCCGCGGGGCTTGATCGGGCGACGGTGGCGGCAGCAACTGGTCCTCCTCCTTCTCCCTTTCCCACCTCCTTCGCCTCCTCCCCCTTCCTGGTTGCTTCTCGTTCTCCTCCCCTAGTGGCGGCCCTGATCCTACGGTACCGAGCAGCGGGGAAGCTGTGGGCGGGCCGGGCCGTTGGTGCGGGCTACGGGCCCGGGCCTTCTGTCCCGGAATCAGGCGGGGGAGTGGGGGTGGGGGGTGGGAGCCGTTGACTGTGGGAGGAATAAGGAAGACGGCAAACCTGTCAGCGGCCGCCGCCGCCTCGCCGCTGGCCCCCCCCACCCGGAACTGTCGGCTTCTCGGTGGTGGGGTGTCTGGGCTCGAGGGGCTGGGGGCGGGGGGAGGGGCCGGGAGGAAGTTCCCCCTCCGTCTTCCCCGATTTCTCCCCCCCCCAAGCAGAGCGGGGAAGTAAAGGCGCCGGCGGGCGCGCTCGTCCGGTTTAGGGTGGGAATCCTGATTCCCAAGGGGATGCCCAGCTCCTCCTTTCCGGAACACTCAGGCTTGGGAACTGAGTAAGGGAGGGGCGAGGAGAGGAGGGGAGGTCCGGAGAGGGTATCCAGAGCAGGGATTGGGTATGCTTACGAGAAGAGTCGGGGGCGCTCCGTAGGGGTCCGGGCTGGGAGCTGGTGCCTAGGGGGGACCCGTTTCTGAGCCACCTGTTTCGTGGTGGTTGTTGACACTCTTTTGCACCTCTCTTTCACTCCCACTTCCTCTTTCCTTTCTCCCCTCCTCCCCCTTCCATTTTTCTTTTGCTCTAGTAAGGGAATGACTACCAGGTACACCAACGAAAATAGGGTGCAAGCCCAGAAACCATTTCTCTACCACCACTTGTTGAGAAACTGATTTGAAAGCAACTGTTTGGAACAGGCAGAGGGTGCCCGGATTTGACATCTCTCTTTTCTCAGATTGGGAACCCTTCACTGCTAAGTGTCAAGGCAACAAAACTGGAAACTAACTTGGTAAACATTTTAAACTTAAAAATAGCGTTTCCCAGTTAACTTTATTTTGCATTTAGTAATGTTTAGAACTTTGCATTTTCAAATTCCTCATATGTGCCAGTTCTTAATCTTGCTTTAATTAAAAAAAAGTTTTCCACTGAAATAATAACTAGCATTTATTTAAAGCTTTAAGGTTTGCAGAGCACTTTATAAATATTAACTTATTTTATCCTCACAACAACCCTGGAAAAAATTTGTTCATCACCTTTATAAATTCCAACTAGGTATATATAGATGGTTGAATATGTAGTATCGAGCCAAGTCAGTTGTACACTTGTAAAGACTTAAGATTGTCATAAAAGAAGAAATGTTCATATGTAGATCTGAAGTTGAATAGATCCCTTAAGGGTCTGAGTGTGTGTGTTGTGGATCCATTTGGCAGTCTGATGAATCTTGTAGACCCTGTCTCAGAATAATATTTTAAATGCATGACATAATGTAAAATTCCAAAGGAAACCAATTATACTGAAATGCTATTATCAAAATATTTTAGGGGGCAGCTAGGTGGTGCAGTGGTTAGAGCTCTGGCCTTGGAGTCAGGAGGACCTGAGTTCAAATGCAGTCTCAGACACATAACACTCACTAGCTGTGTGACCGTGGGCAAGTCATGTAATCCCATTGCCTCATCAAAAAAAAAAAAGTATTTTAAAAAGATAAGTTTGTAGATCTCAGGTTAAGAATCTCTGCTTTAAGTGAAAGATATTTTGAGACTTAATGGATTTACTTTTAATTATAACCTTTTAGATAGAAATAGAAAAATAGGGGATAGAGTGTTGGGCTTGAAGTCACTAAGACCTCTGGGGAAGTCACTTAACTTCTATGTGCTTGAGGCAACTATATATAGAACTTAGTATCCACAAATCCCAGAGGTGTTTCCATGTTCAGGAGCATGAAGTTTTCCAATCAGCAATCCCACATACTGACAAACTCGGGATCCTTTGTAGATGTGTAACTTTTCAGATAGAAATTAATGTGATGACTAAAAGTTAATTCAAAATTTTTATCCAGCAATGGTTTTTACTGTACAGTTGGGGCCAGTAACGTGCTGAAACCAACTACGAGGCAACACGGTGTAGTGGAAAGAGCTCCTAGACAGGAGAGAAATAAATTCAGTATAGCCATTAACTCTTAGTGGTTATCTGACTATAGCCAGGTTACTTTACATATTAGAGACTCAGTTTTCTCAACTATTCAGTAGGTATAATACTACCATATCATTGTTGTTATATAGGATTTTGCCATATAATATGTGTGTAAAGCACTTTGCAATCCTAAAAATACTATATAAATGCCAGTTATTATTAAACTGGTACATAGACAACTACAAATTTTTGAAATTTTGATGATAAATAATCATCTGTTTTATTATTATTCTCGTTTTTCAATCCTTAACTTTTTAACTCAACTTTGGATGTTTAAAATTTGCCTTCAGTTTGTCTTTAATAGCACTCATAGTCATTTTTAGACTTAGCACCTTTCTAGCCATGTAAATAGTCTACATTTGACATTACTTCATGACATTACTTCTATAATCCTGCTTCTTAAAATACTGTAATCAACTTTAACATATATCATGACAGAGGACAAAGCTGTAATTTTTTTTTTCTTATGCTTCAAGTTGCAAAATGGGATTGGCAACAATTTGAGTTTTGCTATAGAATTTGATAAATATTGGCTTGATCTTTTGTTCGATTACCCTATAATTCTATTTTACTTAATTTTTTAAAAAATCAAGAAATTTGCTGAGGTGGTAGTAACTTGCCTCTAATTTTCCATAGTGTGATTTCCTCTAGTCTGCTTTGTCAAGTTTCTTTAGGAAAGCATATAGTTTTAGGGGTTTCCCCCCATCTTTTGTTGTTAATTGTAGATAGAATATCCTGTTCTCATCTATTTGTTTCTCTTATTTTGAAAGACCTTTATTGAAAACCAGAATGGAGCGATTTGTAGTAACATCTCCTCCTGCTCGAAACCGTTCCAAGACTGCTTTGTATGTGACTCCTTTGGATCGTGTCACTGAGTTTGGAGGTGAATTACATGAAGATGGAGGAAAACTGTTCTGCACTTCTTGCAACGTGGTACTTAATCATGTTCGCAAGTCTGCCATCAGTGATCACCTCAAGTCCAAGACTCACACCAAAAGAAAGGCAGAGTTTGAAGAACAGAATGTAAGGAAGAAACAAAGGCCTCTTACAGCATCTCTTCAGTGCAACAGTACTGCGCAGACAGAGAAAATCAGTGTTATCCAGGACTTTGTGAAAATGTGCCTGGAAGCCAACATCCCACTTGAGAAAGCTGATCACCCAGCAGTTCGTGCTTTCCTGTCTCGCCATGTGAAGAATGGTGGTTCCATACCTAAGTCAGACCAGCTAAGGAGAGCTTACCTCCCTGATGGGTATGAGAATGAGAATCAGCTCCTTAACTCACAAGATTGTTGACAAGGGAGGTTATCATCATTGTGAACAAGACAAATGACGTGGAGTATTAAAGTTATGTGTTGATTGTGTGGTTCATTTTTATATTTATTTCATTAAAATCTTGTGATACAGAATAGTTTTGCAATGTGTATATAGCTGCGGAAGTGACAACCTCACTGCAGAACTTGATAATTTAGCCACTGGTGGTGTAAAACAGAACTTCAGTTTAGAGTATGCTAGAGTATCTAAAGCCTGATGGTTTTCTTTCAAACTTATGGTTTTCCCCTAAAAGTTTTATGCATCAGAAGTCCTGCCCTGCTTTTTACCATGTATGACTGTTCCATAAGAAGTTCCTTAAATATTTAGGGAAAAAAATAGCATAGGAAACTGAAGCTGCTGCCAAGGAATACTGCTGATGGTTAATTTTTTGTTGTTGTTCTTTTGTTATTGGAGGGTTTTTTGATGTAATTAGAGTGCCATCTAATAGAATAAAGTGTGCTTCTGCTGTATTCTTAGTTCAGAGCAGGTGAAGGCTCTTATTGTCCCATTTCAAGCTATACTTCACTGTAACTTGGTTGTCTGAAGTGTCCCCTTATCCCACTTTTTTTCATGAGTGCCAGGAATCATAGTAAGACATTAGATAACAGTAATTTTGCTCTTTTAAAATGAACAGAATTTCACAGGCAAAATATACCCATGGACTCTTGGTTTGGATTTTGAAATACACTTTAAATTTCAAGCGTCCCTTTCTTCTTGTACATGCATTCATTGGATTCCAAAACCCTTTTTACATATAAATTCACTCTTAATAATAAATGGAAATTTGGCTTTGATGTCTTAACTATGGATAAGTTAAATTAAACAGTAAGTCTAATTGTACTAAGTTGGAGTATCCTGTTGCATGGAGTAATCCTCTGCCTATGCTGTCAGGTTAGTGCAGATGGAAATTGTTATCCATATAGTTTTGCTAATGTGATTTTAACTCATACATGCCTCATGAGGTAGAAAGACCAGGAACTAGAAAACTTGTATTTTTTTACTTTCTTGAAAAAGTTTTATTTCTGGTGCTTCACTGTTTTTAGGAATAGTATAAAATAGGACCTAATTAGAAATTCTGGCAAGACATTTGGGGGTAGGCTTCTGGCAGCATCATGCATAAGTATTTTGGGGAAAATGATTGTCATTTCTGCCGAAGGGTCTACCATATTCAGGAAATGAGCTCTTTCTGACTCTTATTATCTCAGTAAGGCAAATAGCACAGCTTTTATAGATTTCAAGTCCAAACCACAGGAGAACCAAATTATATGCTTTTAAAAGTTAATCACTTGCTAACTTGGGCTAGTGCTTTTTTGATATATATCATTTGTTGCTTGAACATATACAAGATAAAAATTACTTAAAACAACATTTTTTTTCCTTTAAAAAAGCAATGGTGGAGTCCCTTGTAACTAAGGGTAATAAGGTTTCTTAAAAAAATACATTATATGTCATGTAGTGCTGTGCTCACAAGGAAAATGAGGCCAAAGTGGGTGGATTTTATATTTTCCATGCTTAAATTTCTAAGAAAATGCTTTCAAGGTGCTAGTTGAATTGCATTTTTGGTCTCCATTTGAGTTCAGATTCTAAGTATCTTTTCCTACCCCTTAACCCCTAAAAAATTAGCCTGTCTTAAAAAGTTACTTTATATAACTTAGACTACTAAGTTTTATTTTTTTCTGTTTCTACAGTTATGGCAAATTAATGCAGCAGATTCTCCACATAGTGCTATCATTGAAAAGGCACCAATTAAGGAACTAAATATCTTTCCCAACAAAAACACACACTTTACTTTTATGTTAGAAAGGCACTGGGAGTTGGGTCATGTTTGCTTTAGCATACAGGGTGATACGAAAATCCAAGAAACTAGGGAAACACTTCTAGTACTTCAGGTTAAAAAAATGAGGATAGGTGTATCAGCTGATTGTTGATTTCAGATAATTCTTGTTTTCTTTCTCTGTATTTTAGTATTAATTTACTCTGAAGGCAAACTATCAACAGTAGGTCATATTCTACTTTCATTGGTTATTTTTATTATCAATGATTTGATGACTTTCATTTATACATCATATCTTTGTGTGCTTCAACAAGCCCCTAACTATATTACCACACGTATTATATGTAAGGGCGTAATCCCATCTTTCTGTAAGAGTCATGAGATCATATTCTCAGGGGTCTTTCCCTTGCCCACTATCTCATGCTTCTGGGGCTTTATTAATGGTAATATTTCTTGACTGAGTATGACATTTTGTGTCTCTGAGACTATTTAACTTTGTCTCATAGCTTATAAGGCAGATTGCCCAATTTTAGCCTTTCCAAAACTGGTACAAATCAATGAAACCATAGTTGAGGTATGTTGGATAGAATAAACAGAAATATTTGAGGCCTATGCTGCCTTGGGGTATGATGGACATTTTGTACAGAAACCCTTTCAACCTTAACTTTATAGTGTTAATGTGATGCTATGCTATTGGGAAAAAAATAGCCTTTTTCTATTTTGTAACTTTTATGTATACGTAAAAGGTTGTTTAATGTTTCATTTACAAACTTCATTCTTCAAGACATGCTTACCTGTTAATAGTGTTTTCTCTAAACATACAATAGTCTGTCTTCCAGGAATTCATTATATGCTTACCGTTAATAATTTATGGATTGTTGGAAAGGAAAATTACTTGTAGGCAAAGCAAGATTGAAGGACAATGTAACTTTCTTGCAGGGTGAAACTTAAGGATTATGTTTGAGAGAGAACCATATTGTTTTATCAGTTCCTGCCATCAAATAAGAATCTTTTGCAAATGCCGCTTCTCAAAGCTTTTTGGCCCTGATAAAAATGTTTCCTATGATCCTAAATTATAAAGGACTAGGAAACATTTAAGAAACAGCTCTGTCTTAGAAATATAAATTGGTTAACTATTTGAGATTGTGTCTGATGTGTATTTAAAAAAAAATAGTTTCAACAACCAGTAATGTGGGCAAGTGATAGCTGAAATTTTCCATTTTAGATATTCATCTAAAAATGTTTATTAAATAAAATATATAACAATGGGAAATATAAAAAAATCACAAAGTCTTTCAAATATGGTGATTCCATATTTTCATTCTTTTAAAGGTGTTCTTTGTGCTTTGATTTGCTTTAGATACCAACTATACTTAACTAATAAGTATATTATGTGGATGGAATCACTTTAAGCCCTCAAAAATTAATTCATAAAATGCACTTAGTATAACAATTTCGATTATAACCAACATAACATTTAAATTGGTTTAGGTTATTTCTCCCTCTCCTATTGACTAGAACAAATTAAATAATGAAGTGGCTATCTTAAACCCTGGTTTATTTCATTGCACAGTATCATAGGTTTCTGAGGGAAATAAAACTAACTGACCTAGTGGTATTCTACTCATATTCAGAGTACTGTAATAAAAGTTAACTATGTTCATTTTTGTTCTCAATGCTAATTTTCTTTGCTCACGCATGTATCCTGAAATATTAACGTCTGTGTCGCTTTTAAAGTTTTGTCTGTGACTTTTAGAAATAAATTTTTTTACAAAAAATTAACAGATTTCAGAAAATTTGTGTAAGCACTTTATTAAAAAAAATAGTTTTAGGATGTTAAAATGGCATTCGTTGTAAATTATTAACCTTCAAAATTTCAACAAAGTGAAGTTGTACATGTAAAAAGTCCATTCTGCTATGATTGTACTTTTTGTTCTATAGAAGTAAAAATGTCAAGATGGCCCAATAGGTCAAGACATTATTATCTAGTAATAGGTAATATGAGTTCTAGGGAGTGTAGAATTGTGGAAGTAATACTGAATTTGCAGTCAAGTGACCCAGGTTAAAATCTGTCCACCCCTTCCAATCTCTCAACACTTAGCCTCAGGTACTAAATATTTCATCTTGGGCCTCAGTTTCCTGTCTATAAAATAAGGGGCTTGGACCAGATGATCTCTGAGGTTCCTTTCAGCTTTAAATCTTGTGATTTAACTCCTCCCAATTACACTATGTAGTGAATAATTTAGATACTGAATTGGGGTAATTTTGGTGGAAGCATCTTAATTGTGATTTTTGAAACATTCTGAAAATTAAAAAGGTTCAAATTTTATGAAATTTGTGACTTATTGTTTAGCATTTTAGTTTAAAAATTAAACTGGTGTTTTATGGTTACTTGCATATTTTGAGAGGAAAACATTGTTTTGCTATTTTATTATATTCAGTAAAAAATGAGTTTTTTTTTATCACTCTACTTTTTCATAGGATCTTATGAATGGAAAGGACCTTCAGATTAAGTTACCTCTCCCCAGGTTTCTCACCTAAACCATCCCAGAAATAGATTTTGTTTCCTATGAAAACCTGATACTCTTCCTTGATATTGTTTTGGTTCAACATTATCAAAAACTAATCTTATTGAATCTTTATCCATCTCTGGGTCCTATAACTGATGTTCATGGGAGTATGTAGGGGTTTTCATGGCATCGTACTAATTGATGTTGCTGAAAGATGAAGTAAAAGATCAGAAGTGGTAGGTGATGAGTATGATATATGACATATACTTTTTGGTCATTCCTCAAAATACAGAACACTTGAAAATGTACAACTTGCGGGACAGCTAAGTGGCGCAGTAGATAGAGTTCCAGTCTTGGAGTCAGAAGGACTAAGTTCAAATCTGGCCTCAGACACTTTACTTGACACTTGCTAGCAAATCACTTAACCTCGATTGCCTCACCAAAAAGCAAAAAAAAAAAAATGTACACGTGAAATGCTTACAGCTCAAGATAAAAAATTTTAGTGTCGAATATATCTCTCATGCTTCAGTATTTTTCTCATGTTCTTGGTTGGATGGAGAACATACTATTGTCATAACATAAGTGCCTTATGCCAAATTGTCTTTTGTCCTCTCGGGGGTTCCTCAGGCTAACTTTATGATCTCTAATATATATCAACACTTTGATTTCCTGAGGATCTAACCAAAGTAGAAATGTTTGGATCAAAGGATGGCATCTGAGAATACTATTTAAAGCCTCCAAATTTAAGAGAGATTAATGGGTTCTGTAAAGGAGGCAGACAGGGTAATTATCAGGCTGAAGATCATCTTGTCATCACCCACAAATGTACCACTTCCATGCTCATGAACTTTATAAAATTACCTTATCTGATTATACTGTATTTTCATTCTGTCTCTCCCCTCTGCCTGGCAATCCCAAATCCTGTTTTTGTTTTTAGGCAATTGGCTAGTAAGTGTCAAGTGTTTGGTGTGAGGCCAGACTTGAACTCAGGTCCTCCTGACCTCAGGGCCGACACTCTATCCACTGCGCCAAATCTAGTTCTTGATCCACACCATGACCTCCAATCTCTCAACTCCTCAGTGGAGAGTTTCACAGACTATCACCCCTGTACTGTTACAACTCTCCTTCCTTCCCCATTTTGAGCCCATCGTGAACCAGTTCAACTCTATACTTTCCTCTTGAGCACCTCACTCCTTATCTTATTGCCAAATTTGCCCTGCAAATTCTCAGCTTTGGATCATTCCCACCATCTACTGCTTTTGCTCCTACATGTGTGCTGCTGAAGTTGGAGAAAATCATGAAACCTTACTGACTGGTCTGCTATGCATTTATGCTACATAACTTCAATTTGGCTTTCAATGGTATAAGGCAGTCCTTTTACTCCTCCCTAATTAACTCACTGTCCCATTCAGTACAGCAACTCTTCCAAACTTTTTCATCCCTTCTCAAACCTCCTGCGGCCCCACCTCCCCCCACCTTCTCAGCTGAGAAACATTGCCTTGTGCTTTACTAAAAAAAAAAAAAATTGAAGCATTCACCTAAAACTCATTTCTTCCTTACTTATCTCACATCATGCATGCCTTCTGCCTCTGTCTCTTTCACCTTTGTCTCATGTGATAAGGTACCTGTACTTACAAGGCCAACATCTCTGTTTGCACAAGTGATAGCATTCCAGCCATCTGCAGCAGATTGCTCCCTCTTTCACTTATTTTCAGTCTCTTCCCATTTGGCTGTAAACATGTTTATGTTCGCCCTCCCCGCCATCCCCAATAAACTCACTTAATCCATCTATGCCCACTAGCTATTATCATGTATTTCTCCTTTTTGTGGCTAATTTTGAGAAAGCTGTCTATGATAGCTGCCTCCACTCCTTCTCTCACTCTCTTACCTCTATAGTCTGGCTTCTAATCTCATTATTCAGTCAAAAGTGCTCCTTCAAGTTATCGATGCTCTTTGGTAAAATTTAATAGCCTTTTTCTCAATTCTCATCTTTCTTGACTTTACTGTAGCCTTTGACACTATAAATCACCCTCTTTTCCTTCATACTTTCTTCCCTCTAGGTTTTCAGGACACTGTTCTTTTCTCGTTCTCTTCCCTATCTGCTCTTTCTCAGTCTCCTTTGCTGGATCTTCATCCAAATCATGCCCACTAACCATAGGTGTCCTATGGAGTTCTGTCCTGGGCCATCTTCTCCCTCTTACTATTTCATGTAAGTTTTTCCAGGTTTTTCTGAAATCTGCCTGCTCATCGTTTCTTATAGCACAATAGTATGCCATTACATTTATATACCTTAACTTGTTCAGCCATTCCCCAATTGATGGGCATCCCCTCAAATTCCAATTCTTAGCCACCACAAAAAGAGTTGTCATGCATATTTTTGTATATGTGGGTCCTTTTCTCTATTTTATGATCTTTTTGGGATATAGATCACATAGTGATATTGCTGGATCAAAGGGTATGCACAGTTTTATAGCCCTTTGAGCATAGTTCCAAATTGCTCTCCAGAATGGTTGGAACAGTTCACAACTCCAACAGCAATTGCATTAGTGTTTCAATTTTCTCACATCTTCTCCAACATTTATCATTTTCCTGTTTTGTCGTATTAGTCAATCTGATAGGTGTGAGGTGTACCTCAGACTTGTTTTAATATGCATTTTTCTAATCAACAGTAATTAAGAGCATTTTTTCATATGACTATAGATAGCTTCATCTGAAAACTGCCTGTTCATATCCTTTCACCACTTATCAATTGACTTGTATCCTCATAAATTTGACTCAGTTCTCTATATACTTTAGAAATGAGGCCTTTATCAGAAACACTGGCTGTAAAATTGTTTCCCAGCTTTCTGCTTTCCTTCTAATCTTGGTTGCATTGGCTTTGTGCAAAACCTTTTTAATTTAATGTAATCAGAATTATCCATTTTGTATTTCATAATGTTCTCTATCTCTTGTTTGGTCATAAATTCTTCTCTTCTCTATAGATCTGACAGGTAAACTATTCCTTGTTCTAATTTGCTTATGGCATCACCCTTTATGTCTAAATCGTGTACCTCTTTTGACTTTATTTTGGTATAGGGTGTAAGATTTTGGTCTATGCCTAGTTTTTGCCAAACTCTTTTCCAGTTTTCCCAGCAGTTTTTGTCAAATAGTGAATTCTTATCCCAGAAGCTGGAATCATTGGGTTTATCAAACAGTAGATTACTATAATCATTGACTACTGTGTCTTGTGTACCTAACCTATTCCACTGATCTGCCACTGTATTTCTTAGCCAGTATCAAATAGTTTTGATGATTGGTGCTTAGTTTTGGATCTGGTAAAACTAGGCCACCTTCCTTTACATTTTTTTTCATTAATTCCCTTGATACTTTTGACCTTTTGTTCTTCCAGATGAATTTTGCTATTATTTTTTCTAGCTCTATAAAATAATGTTTTGTTAGTTTGATTGGTATGGCATTGAACAAGTAAATTAATTTAGGTAGAATTGTCATTTTTATTTTATTAGCCTACCTATGAGCAACTGATATTTTTCCAATTATTTAGATCTGACTTTATTTGTGTGAAAGTATTTTGTAATTGTGTTCATATAGTTTCTGGGTTTGTCTTAGCAATAGACTCCCTATTACTATTTCACTTTCTAGTGAAAGTCTTTCTAGTCTTTTTACACCTTACTCTACCTTCTCCCCCATTTAATCTGCAATCCAGTGATTGTGGCCTTCGTTTTTTCCCTTGAACAAAATACTCTATCTCTGGACTCTGAGCATGTTCACTGGCCTTCCACCACACATGAAATCACCTAGCAGAGGCACCCATTATTCCAAAAGTATTTAAGCATTCTATGATTCCATGTTCTTTGTCTTTGGTTACTGAGAGAGACCACTGACCATCAATTTGTCAATTGTTTGCTAGCCTAATTAATAAACTGATTATTAATTACCCAGAAACTATATCTCTTGGCCTTTTCATTCTTCTTGATGGCAAGGCGTGATCACCAATAAGGTCCTTTGCTGAAGTGCATCAATCACTGCTGAAACAGTGTCATCATAGTACATACCCTACATATAAACATATGTACGGAGGATGAACAAAGTCCCAGCTACAATCCTGCCTTTTATAGGAAGCCCTTCCTTCTTTCCCTGAATTCTAATACCTTCCTTCTGTTGAGGATTTCCAATTTATCCTATTTATAGCTTTTCTGTACATAGTTGTTTGTATATTTTCTCCCCCTTTAGACTGTGAGCTCTTTGAGAACAGGGACCATCTTTTTCTTTGTA